TATATTTATTTTGTGCGTGTGTGTTTGGCCTGCACGTATGTCTGTACCATGTGAGTGCCTGGTGCTTGGGAAGGATAGAAAATTGTGTCAGCTCCTTTGGAACTTGCATTATAGTCGTAAGCCACCTCAGGGGTGCTAAAAAAAATTCAGATCCTCTTAACAGCTGAGCTATCTCTCCTGCCCCATGTTTTGTTTTATGCAGTACTGAGACCAAATCCAAGTTTTCTTGCATGGTAGGCAAGCATTCTACCAACTGAGCTACATCTCCAGACCCTTTGTATTTGTTGTTGTTGTTGTTTGAGACAAGGTCTCATTCTGTAGTGTAAGTGGGCCTGGAATTCACTCTAACACTCAGGCTGACCCAGAACTCATACCAATTCTCCTGCCTTGGGCTCCAAGTGCTGGAATTAGTGTTCTCAACTCAGAGACAGGAGTCTGTTAACAGAACAGCACAGATGAGTGGCTCCAACAACAGACACTTTCTCACAATTTGAAGCTGTAACCAGTATCACACTGTGGTAGGATTGGTTCATTGAGGCTTGACTCCTTGGCTTGAATGTGGCCATTTCCCTCATGCCTAAACCTGGGTGTCCCTCGTGACATCCGTCTTGACTTCTTCCTCTTAGGACATCAGTTATTGAGCTAAGCCCACACCCACATTCCCCTTTACCCCATAGTCTCCTTAGAAGAGTCTGGATGAAGACATGTGGATTTGGGGCTGGAGGCAGTGTGATAAGACTGTCACATGCCACAGTGCTTGTTGGCAGAGACATGCACATCTACTGGCCACTAAGAGTTTAAAAAAGAATTATTGTTTGTGGGGGTGGTGTTCAGTGTTGGTCGGGGAGGCAGTTTTGATTTTGATTGTGGTAATTGGAGTGGGACAGCCACATCAATGATCTGCTTGCAAGATTCCATTCTTGAACTCTCAATACCATCTAAATTCCTCTTATCTCGGTGTCTTCAGCTTCAAAGAGAAGAGATAGTGTAGGCAAACTCAAACCAACCAACCTTGTGTACAAGCTTTTCCAAATGTTCCTTGACTGATTAAATTTTTTTTTCTTTTGAGCAGAGTTGAGCAATAATCTGACTCAGAGTTGAAGGTTGCAAAAAGACAGTGATGTGGATGGAGACAGTGAGGGTCGGATTCTGGCTGGATTCTCTTCCCCGCTCTTCCTTGAAAGATGCCAAACTTTTATCCTGAGTTCTGTTGTCCATCAGGACACCAAAGAGTCTGTGTTTTTAGTTGATAGACACGAAGGCCTTGTGACACTGTGAAGTATAACACTATCATCTTTTTTTTTTTTTTTTTTTTTTTTTTTTTTTTTAGGTGAACAGTGGTATAGAGAGGTTAAGTAACTTGGTTGAGGCACATAGTTACTAGAGTGGAATGGACTACCTTGTTTAACAACTATCCCCCCAGACCTTGTCCATGTTAAGCAAGCACTTTACTAATCAACTACATCACAAACTCCCTACGTGGACACTGAGCAAACCTTGAACAATGGCCTTTCCAAGGTTTTGCAAATGGTCTTGGATATAGAAGTTGAGAGTAAAAGAGAGAGTGCTTTAAGGTGCCTTGAAATGATGGACCTTTTTGAAACCCATGTATTCCTTTCAGACCTCCATGACCCTGCAGTGGAACCTTTATGAGATGGCACACAACTTGAAGGTCCAGGAGATGTTGCGGGCAGAAGTTCTGGCTGCCCGGCGCCAGGCCCAGGGAGACATGGTCAAGATGGTGCAGTTGGTTCCACTCCTAAAAGCCAGCATCAAGGAGACACTGAGGCAAGTCCAGTATACCCATGCCTTCCCACCCCCAATCCCCTGGGGAAGGGTTCCAAGGAAGGGCTAGTGAATTTTAGAAATAAGTTTGGAAGGGATGAGTAGGACTGGGGAGCTTGAACAAGAACCAGGTCCTGCTTTAGTTTTTCCCTGGGGTGCTGTAGTCGGGGGCTGAAATGCCAGGCTGGTGTGGGAGTCAGGGTGGATATGTCCTGGTTCCAGGATTTGGGGCCATCTATCTCTGAGGGTCCTCTTTCTGCAGACTCCACCCCATCTCCGTGACCTTGCAGAGGTATCTTGCAAATGACCTGGTACTACGAAATTATAGGATTCCTGCCAAGGTAGGACTCAGGGGCTCTGCCAGTCAGATGGAGGAGAAGAGGGAGTACACTTCAATTCCAGGCAGATGGTGGTGATGGGAGCTTCTAGCTGAGCTTTTCTTCCTGATGCTGGGACATTGATAGAGCATTCAGGCACAGTGGTCTAAATTTGCATGAACAGTAATGGTAGTAGGCATGGCGGGTAATGAATACTGGAGTCCAGGATTACAAGGATAACCTGCTGGTATTTCTGGGTTGAGGGTGAGATATTTCAATGGTTGAGAAGGCATAGGGAAATCCTGTGGATTATTCCTAGCTTTGTGTCTTCAGCCTTCATCAGGGCTCACCAAGGGGCAGGAGACTTGTTTGAAGCTACACAATGAATAGAAGGCCTGGTTGTGTCCTGTCTTGGGTAGCTGGGCAGCCAGGCTTGGAAGCAGGGCCTGAGGAAGCTGGGTCTAGGGTTGCACTCAGAACTGTGGGGAACTGGAACTGCTCAAGCTTTGTTGACTTGCTCCTAGACGTTGGTGCAGGTGGCTAACTATGCCATGGGCCGAGAACCCAGCTTCTTCCCCAACCCAAACAAGTATGACCCAACTCGTTGGCTGGAAAAAGGCAAAAATATCACCCACTTCCGTTACTTGGGCTTTGGCTGGGGTATTCGGCAGTGTCTGGGCCGGAGGATTGCAGAGCTGGAGATGACCATCTTCTTCATCAATGTGAGTGGGGCTCTGGGACACATCAGTACTTTGAGATTTCCATGGCCCCAGAGAAGTCATCAACCCTCCTCCTGTCTGTGAATCCAGGGAGTGCAGGATCAAAGCTCATCAATCTCCCACAACTCCCAGCTGCCTCCTTATGTGGACTAACCCAATTATTACCCACTTACATCCCCTGAGGGTGCTTGTCCCCACTCGGGAGGAGAGGTGGGAGAGGTTGCTCAGCAGATGATTTAAGGTTAAAGCCTAAAGCTATGAAACAGAGCATGCAGAGCCCATTTAGACACGGTGAGAGACTGAATAATTGGTGGCATGTTCTTTAAATCATACTCAGCATATCAACCCCATGCCTATGAATGTCAAGTGTGCGTGACCTAGGGGAGGCAGATCCTTAACATTTCCCAAAGCCACCTCTTTCTTCATCAGGTTCTGGAGAACTTTAGAATTGAAGTCCAAAGTCTTCATGATGTGGGGACCAAGTTCAACCTCATCCTGATGCCTGAGAAGCCCATCTTATTCAACTTCCGGCCTCTCAAGAAGGACGTTGAAACGACTATGATCAGATAGGGTGTGGCACTTCCTGAACTTCAGGCTGGAGTCATATGGGGAGATGGCCCAATGGGAGCATTTGGGTGGGTGTCTTTGTAGTTCCAGAAAAACCTGTTCCTTTGTGGTGGTTCTGAGCTCTCAGTGGCCACCTGCCTAAGTTAGCTGGGCCCTCCTCTCCTTCATCCTCTCTCCTTTACTTACCCAGAATGTTAATAAACAGATGAACTCCGGGGAATGTTTTTACTCCTATCAGATTCCTAAGGCATTCGATAACCTCACGGAGATGAACCCTGATGCCCTGGTCAACAGTGGGATGAGGGGCACTTAGGAAGCTGTTATATAGCCTACCTGTGGCCCCCACACATACCATCAGTTCAGGAGCTAGAAGAATCTTCTCTAAGTTCACCCAGGGATCCAAGTGAGGTCTATCAGGAAAGACTAGTAGCATCAGGCCAGCAGTTACCAAAATGGACTCAGGGAGCTCTGCTGGAAGGGCAGGGTAGCTAAAGAGATGTGGGTAATCCATGTCTTCCTGGGTGGAACTACATGGAAGGTGGGGCTGGTGTGGGGTTCTGCTTGGTTGATTGCAAGAGGAGCCCCTTGTGGGGTTGTAAGGACTTTCTTCTAAGGTCCCTCCTTCTTGGGCATGACCATGGCTGAAGTCTGGTAAAACACCATGCTAGTAAAGGACTGAAGTGAGGTGATTGAGTCTGAAGACAGAGACCAACAGGCTTTCTACCCTCTGCTGCCCATCCTGTGGGCATGCCCCAGGTCTGTTTCCTTGCTACAGGGGTGCAGGATGGGGTCTAGCTCAGAATTTGGTTTATATGACATCTGACCCTGTCCAGTTCTAAGTCCCTCTGGTTCTATATCTCACCATGAGCAGGTGCTAGAGTCTTGCTGACCTTTCGCTATCCAAGTCTAAGTCCTGTAGATAGGTGTGGAGGCTAGGTCTGCTCAGAACAGTGGCTAAGCTGGCTTGGTCCTTTCTAGCAAGGCTGATGGTTCTGGGTCCATTCTTGAGCTGTTTGATTCTCCATAGTCTATGACCCTCCTCCTGTGTCTCTCTGTCCTGCATGCTTCCTTTCTTTCCTCTCAAAGATGACTCAGAAATGTCAGTGCTGCAAAGGGCCTCTTTGCCAAGGCAGACAGCTCTTCATGGGATAGACGAAGTCTCTGGAGGTCAGAGAGATTTCTAGTCACCCAGAGCCACCCAGAATGCTCATGGCCAGAACCCAAGCTAGCTGGGACCCCAGCCCTCATAACCTCCTGTCTCTGACTACATTTTTATACCATATCATCAGCTCTGCCAACCATAGTGGGATATCTGAGTAGTGTCATAGGAAGGTGTCATGGTTTTCTGTTCCCAGGAGACTCTGAAGACCTAAGCCTAAGCAAAAGATATCAGAAATGAAAAGGTGTTGGGAACTGAGGGGAAACATGGCCTCTCTCTTGTCTTACATAGAGCTTGGCTTTAGGCACCTTATTTCTGGTCTCTATGGTATCTCTCCTCAGAACTCTCCAGGGGTTGTCTGGCTTTTCAAGTCAGGAAGTAGGTACAAGGTGGCCTCAGATAGCCCAGGACCCATCCACTGCTGACTGCCTTGCTCCAAGAAAGAGCCAATGCTTATTGAGTTACAGTATTTACTAAAGACATCTTTAAGGTGGGGATGACTCCCCAGCACATGGGGAAGGAGGCCAGCTGCAGGCTCAGGTCTTCTGGGCATTAGAAATCTCAATTTAGGAGTTTGAGGGTCTGTTGAGCTTCGTGTCTGAGCTGGGCTGTGAGGGTTCCAGTTTGGAGGACTGTTGGGGATCCTTGGCCATTCCAGCATTCTGTGACGTACAAAATAGGTCAGATAAATACATCCCCATTTCCAGGGTACACTGCTTCAGGGCTGTGGCTTCTGAATAACTTTGGAGCCCATTTTATCACTGCAGGTGATGCCTAATTTCCCTGGGTCCCTAGGACTAGATGAGTTTGCAGAGGTAGTCCTATACTCCCAGGAAGTCTTCAGGTTCTGTCTAGGGGCAGTCAAGCCTTGGCTTCCAAGTGCTGATAGAAAGTGGGAAAATCAGGATGTTTTCCTATAGGGTAAGAAGTCCCCAGGGCTGGGCTTGTGGTGGTGGCTGCAATGTGAGTCTATCCCCAGTACTGATGTCATCTAAGAAGGAAGCTAAACAGAAATCTAGAAACTGGGTGGGGAGAGGTACAAGGTATTCTGCCAGAGTAGTTCCAGAACATTCTAGAAATGACTGTATAGGCCATTTCCAAAACACAGTTATCTCCTCCTTGAGGTTCAGGACAACCAATGGGAAAGGGGACATGTTGGAAGGCATTTCTACTCCTTCAGATGAGTGGAAGAATGGAGGTCATGTGAATATCCAGTTTGCTGACAGTAGGACTTCAGCTCAAGACTTCGGATCCTTAACTTAAGATCTACCCTCCAAGTTTTTCTTGGGGCCCAGTGGTTTGGGGGATGGGATGGCTTCTAGCCTACCACCTGGATCCCCAGGAATTCCTGTGTCAGGGTCACTCACAGGCTGGTCTATGGTAATGGGGTTTGACAGGTGTCCAAAGCCGTGTTGTTGCTCCTGAAGCCGTATGGCTAAGTTTTGCTTTTCTCTTGCCCAGTGGCGAGCGGAGTCCTCCAGCTGTAGATATGGAGAGGAACATTTGGAAAGCCAGCAGTGAGCATGGCTCCTGCCCCAGAGCTAGGATAGAGTTTGGGCTTGTTTTCTAGGAAAAGGCAAAGCTCTGTCAGTAGCAAAGGTGAGGGGCCAAGCAGGCAGCCTAAGGCCTAAGACACAGATGGATCTTCTCCGCAGTACATATGGAGTCCACATTCGGAACTGCATCCACATTGAGCCTTCACTCTGATCACAGACTAGGGCTGACCTGCTTACTTGATAGATCCTAATTCTGTAGTCACACATTGAGCCTTGATCCTACTTGTATACCGAGTCTTGCTCCTGGTCAGAGGCTGCACAGTGAGCCTAGTCCAGGCTTATCAACCCTGGCATCTCACCTACCTGGTTTTCCAGGGACAAGATCCGACTCTGCGCTTGTTCTAGCTTGGCCAGGAGGTTAAACTTGTCTGAAGTGCCACCGAGGAGATCCTGTGGGAGCAGACACTCATGTGAGGCCCCAGCTGGGAACTGAGGCCATGAGAACTCAGTGAGTGCAAGGAATTGCAGGAAAAACCAGCCAGGTGTGGGTTTCAAATTCAGCTGCAGATACAGAGCTTCACTCCTGGGCCAGGGCCTCTTCCTTAAGATCTGCATAGGGCTTGATGTTCACTGTTCTTCATGTTGTTTCCCATTTGAATCAGGGGAATCTAACATTAATTTTTTTTTTTTTTTTAAGGCAGGCTCACATATATTCCAGGCTGGCCTTGAACTCATCATGCAATGAGAATAACCTTGACTTCTGATCTTCCTGCCTCCATCTCCTGAGTGGTGGAATTATAGGCAAGTGTCGGTTTATATGGTGCTGGGGATCAAACACAGGGCTTCATATATGCTAGACAAGCACACTATCAACTAAACTACACCCCCAACTCACACCTAATGTTTTAACATATCAACAGCTTATGCAAAATGCACTAATGAGCTCCCTTTAATACCCAGGAGGCAGCTGAACTGGGAGTTTAGCAAAACAAAGGATGCCCATCTTTCATGCTTTGCCTGTCTAGACATGCATTGGGGCATTCCAAACAGAACTCACTTCCAGAATGAAGAGAAACACTCACCTGTGTCCTCTTGCCATTACCTCCAAATATTGACTTTGGGTTTGTGTACAACAGGGACACTTGAAGCAGCCCGGGCAGTGGAGTAGCCCCTGGGACACCCACCTGTGCTGGCAGGGTCTCTGTGCACTTGGAGTGGCCTGGGCCATTTGTGTCTCGAAGCCTCTCTGCCAAGTCTCCACCTGCTCCCAACTCCCTGGGATCCACCTGGGATGGGGAAAAGGGCTCTCCAAGGCTACACAATCCCAGAAGGCTCTGAGAGGTCCATGGTGGGAGGAGGGTGTCCAAGTGGGAGGTGGCAGGTGGAGTCAGGGGTCAAGGGTGAGCCAGGGCCTTGCTCTCTCCCAGGGTGCTAGATGAAGGCAAGACATTCATCTTAGAAACACAAGGGCAAGGAGTGCAAGGTGTGGCTATGAGTGTTCCCAGCGGCCCTGGGTGCTGGGGAGCCCAGAGTCTGGCCTGGATCTTCAACCTGGCTCATGTTGGGGGTGATTGTGGGGTACCTGCTGACCGGTTCTGGCAGGCTCAAGCCAGGCCTGGGTTGGCAACTCTTACCGGCAGTGCTTGCTGCTGCAGAATGATGGGGGCTGGCTGCTGGCGGTTCTTTTCCAACTCTGCCCGCAGCCTCGTGTTTTCTGCCAGCAGCACAGAGTAAAGATCCACAGTCACGTTCTCTCCCGTGGGACCCAGGTGAATGCCAGAGGCTGTGAACATGGGGAAAGCTGTAAACATGGCCACAGGTGCTTGTGAGATGGGCTTTCTTGCCTCCGTGTTCCCATTTGCCCCAGCATATCGCTCCATTCTACTCCCAAGCTATTAATGGCTCCCCTTTGCCAGTGAGGTCAGGTCCATATCCCTCAGGCTGTATTATTTGGAATCTTACTCCATTGTTTTTCCTGTTTTCCTCCCTACTCATTTGTCCCTGTCTCTGGTCCCTCTCTGCTCCTCCATAGACTCTAGCTTACACTCCAGAGGACTAAAAGGGTCCCTGAAACTTCCATCATTTTCTAAAGACTTTCAGACCCCCAGCGCCTAGCCATCAGTGAAGACTGAGCCCAGGGCCAGGCCTACAGAGAAACTTGGGGGAGTCTTCCACATGGCAAGGGAGATGACTGACCCAATATGGTGTAGTCTTATTCTTTCCTGCTTATTGGAACTATCTTTGATTGACAGTTGTGGATAGCTGTGGTCTCCACCAATGTGGAAAATAAACTGATATCATCAGGATGGTTTTGTCTTTTTGCTTTGTGGAGGCAAGGATAGAAAAGATGCCAAGAAGGGGGAAAGCCTAGAAGTCCATCTGGGGAGGTATCTGGCTGCTTCTGTGGTTCATGGAGCCTCAAACCTAGAGGTCTGGTCTCTTTCTACTTGGCTCACACAGTGTCCTTGTGTCTTAAGGAGCTCTGAACACCATGGAAGCTCTCAGTACTCCTTTCCCTAGGAGAGGAGAGGCTTAATACTATTTTGAGTATGTCTCTCTGGCTCCCAGACACAATAGAGCACTGTTCCTCCCCCCCCCTTAAAGTTCTTGTGACACTGGGTCAGGGGGCTCCAGGGTGAGACAAAAAGCTGACAAATCATTTACTCTGAGATCTACCTTGGGGAGCAGGCCCGCCCATGCTGGGCTTCCCCTGTGGCCTGTTGGATGGTGCTGGCTCCTTCCTCTCAAGGAGCCTTTCTTCCAACACCTGCTCCATCTTCTCAATCACCTGGCGACAGAGACCAAGGCTGGGCTGGCCTGAGAGCTCCATAGCCTCTAGGCTGCAGGCCCTCCTCGGCAGATGACCCTAGCGCCTGCCTTCTCCTGGTGTCGAACAGTGTCCTCCAGGGCCTTCATCTTCTGCAGCTTGTCCTGGTACCGCCTCAGTTGGGCAGCCTGTGGCTGCTGGGCCTGGTACAGAAGCAGCAGCTCCTTCTCTCGATCATTCTTCTGCAGGGTGAGGGTGAATGGGTACCTGGAAGTTACCCTGGCCACAAGGGTGCGTGTGGGACCCTGTCAACCCTGCACTGCCAGCCAGCTCCTCCCCCCACCCCGGCCCCCATGTGCTTTCTTTCAGCTTTGGAATGTTTCTCAGGGCTTTGCTCGGTGGCACTGTCCCTCTGGCCATTAAGCCTTGGCTCACCCGAATCAGCTCATTCTGCAGGTGTTGCACCCTGTCTCGAAGCCTCTTTATATCCAGTTCGCTCAGCAGTAGCCTCTGCTTCATGGACACTGCTGGGGTGGGAGGAAGCTGGTTTGAGAGTGGTGGAGGCAGAGGTACCCCAGCTCTGAGGTTTGACTCAGGATTGTAATTTTTTTTTTGTTGTTTCCCCTCCTAAGATGTTATAGTTGGACAGATTGTACAAGTGTGTCTACAGTGGGGAGGAACGAGAGGGGTAGGGGACTCATGTGACACACAACATCTGGAGAAAGCTCCCTATCAGCCTGGCAATGCTCAGTTCAGAGCCTGGGCCCCAGCATGTAACCAAGGCTCACCCAGGTTCTCCTCTTCAGCTCTGCTCTGCTCTTCTATGCTCTGCTGGGTCAGGTGACTCCTCAGGGTGCGGTTCTCCTCCTCCAGGATATTGGCTTGCTTCCTTAGTGCCAGGATGTCCTCTGCCATCTTCTGCATGGCCCGCCGGTAGTTGTTCATCTCCTATGATCCCAGAATCCTCAGCTGAATCCTTACCCGATGCCCAACCCCCCCCCAGGTTCCCATTCTATATCTGTACCGCAGTGAACCATTCTCAACAGCCTTGGGCTGTGCCCCAAGTCTGAACGATTGTCCAGAAGAGTGGTTGGATGTGGTCCCCATCTCTCCTGGTAGCATTAGGACAGCCACACTGATGTGCCTCCTCAGGGACCACAGTGATTCATATGATCCCAGGGGTTTCTAGGGTTCAGGAATCAGGTAAAGAAGCCTGCAGGCAACATACTCAAAGCATGGAGCCACATTTGTGAGTAAACTGTATCTACACCTTCACCTTCTTCTCCTCCAGCTCCCTCTTATAACCCAACTCCTTCCCAGGAAGAGCATCTTAGACTGCCCACTGAAGCTACCAGGGGTGGGGGGTGGGGGGGGTCTGACCTACCACCAGCTTCCCAAACAGCCCAGAATTCAAGAGCAGACACCAAGCAGACCCTGGAGACTCAGGTAAGATCCCAAAGTCAAGTGCAGGATCCAAATAAAAGATGGCAGAGATGCAGGAGGTGGGGGCAGGAGGCTGACTTAGGTCTGGAAGGGCAGCAATCATGGTGTTGATGTTCACTGGGCTTCCCCACATCCCAAGCCTCCTGCTAAGTGCTTTAGGTCTGCATCCAACCCCCAGCAAGTCTATGGGATAGGTATTGTTATCACCCCCACTTTACAAAGGAGGAAACTGATGACAAGCCCCAGAGAAGCAAACAACCTACTCACTAACAAGAGCAATGGGTAGTAGTAAAGTCAGGGTCTGAAATTAAAGCCTGGTGCTTGAGTCTGCTTTTTTTTTTTGTTTGTTACGAAACTAAGTTGGCCCATATATGCACAGAACAAATGAGCTAAATTTTTGTTAGTTTGAGTGTGTGTGTGTGTGTGTGTGTGTGTGTGTGTGTGTGTGTGTATGTGCCTGTGTGGACACGTATTATTCAGCCTTGGGTGTCAACCTCAAGAATTCTTTGAAATAGGACATTTTCTCATTGGCCTGGAGCTCATGAATTAGGCTAGATTGGTTGGTCAGTGAGTCCTAAAAGTTCTCTGGTCTTTACTTTCCTCATGCTGGGATGATAAACAATCGCCAATCACTGTGTCTAACATTTACATGGGTGCTGGGCATTAAACTCAAGATCCTGTGCTTTTGAGGCAAGCACTTTTCCTATTGAGCCATATCTCAAGCCCTGTATTTGCTTGTCAATTGGATTCTGTACTGTTGTTACAAGGTTCAAGTCCACAGTATCTTAAGACAAAATTTGTGTGTGTGTGTGTGTGTGTGTGTGTGTGTGTGTGTGTGTGTGTGTGAGAGAGAGAGAGAGAGAGAGAGAGAGAGAGAGAAAGATCTGAGACAAGCCAGAAAGGCCCTGGAAGAGGATGACTCAGAGCAGGGTTTGGGGGTGAAGAGGAGGAGGCAAGTGTGCTCTGAGTTGCCTCTGAACTTCCAGGCTGTGGGAAACCTTGTTCCTGTGGGTAGGTCTCTCAGGCCTAGCCTGAGTCACAGGCCCCAGAAAGGACAACTTTATATCCATCTTTCCCCTGGTGTCCTGCTACCTGGTGTGTGTGTGTGTGTGTGTGTGTGTGTGTGCATGTTTTAATTACAACCCAGCTATAGTCTCCTGTCTGCTGCATGGGGGGGGTCCAGTTATATCCAAACTCCCACCTGCTGCATGTTGGGGCACAGCTTCTAGGGGAGGGGTCCCCAGCCAGCAGGATCTCATCAGACACCATTTGTCATCTGCCACTGCTGTCTAGCCTTCTGGCTATGGTCCTTCTGACAGTGCCACTGCTGGCTATATCTCCCCAGCATCTGCTATGGCTTCCCCAGATCTGTGCCCATCTGGTATCCTTAGTCAGGGTGCTAACTAGGACTCTGAACCTGGGACCACACACAGTCATGCACATACTTACTTTGGAGTCAGGGACATGTATATGTGGCGCTTGGGGCTTCCTGGGGGCCCAGGCGTTACTGTGGGCTCAGGTGTCAGGTGGGGGGACTATTCTCAGTCTGTCTCATTTCTTCTTTCAATGGCTATCCCACTCAATAGACCCTCCTCCCTTTCTTAGTACACTGGACCTGCTGGCTCCCCCTCTGCCCTGTGGTCTTCACGTTATGGCACATCCCATGACTGACTGGATCTAGGGCTCAGCTGGAGGAAGTCTGATATTTCAAAAAAAAGGATTCATCTTCTGTCCTCTAGCTGCTTCAACCTCTTGTCATGCTGCTCTGATTACAGTAGTCCCAATGGGGTTACTGGTTTCTAAGGTTATTGCCCCAACACACATGCATTATTATGTACATGTTCAAGAATGCTCCATTCAGCAGTTTGTAGTTTTATGCTATGGCATTTCTGATGTCTGGCCTGGTTGTATGAAGTGTCCTAGAATTACTTGTCCTGGTACAGAGAGAAGGTCACAGCCTATTGTGAAATGAAGAGATCATGTGGGAAGTTAACCCAAAACTTAACTGGGATGGATGTGAGCATGCACAGATAATGAATTCTGGGCAAGAGGTTGCTAGCCCCTTGGCCCAACCCATAAGGTCTGGTCAAACCACATCTCATTCAGGAAATTCTCATTTTTAAGAGCCCACTGTTCCCCATCTCTGCAGTTCTGGGATGCGGGGGAAGTAAACATTGCTCTGTTATTTATACCCTCCCTCAGAGATTAAGAAAACAGATCATAGCAAGGAAGGAAAGGACAAAGAGAGGTCAGCTTCTAGTGAGGTGGCCTGGCCTCAGCCACCTTCTAGAAGAGGGTCAGTGGGTCCTGGGACTCCCCCTTTAAAGATTAGCCCCATTTTCCTCTTAACTTAGCCCTGCCCATTTCCTGGGAGTGAGGCCTCCCTAGGGAGGCAGTGTGGGCTCCTAGCTCATCCTCTCTACTCCAGCCAGTGGTCTGTTTCTGTGGGAATCTCGGCTGCCCCCATTTGCATGGCCAAGCGGGGACCTTGGCAGCACAGCTGGGCTGGGAGACCACAAGCTTCCAGCTGGCAATCCTGACCTCTGGTCGAAGCCTGTAGCCAGGCTATCTTCAGGGCCATGTTCTACGTCACATTTTAGCCTTGAACACACACAGGACACCATGCTCCAGATCCCACAGTCTCAAGACCTTGCTCTCTAGTTACCTCCTGGGGGAGGGACAGGCGCATCCTCAGAGGTCCTGACTCATGCCACAGTGCCTGACCCCGAGGACCCTTTACACCTCCTTCCCTAGACACTCCCTGCTAGGGTTCCAACCCTGAGACCCTGCCAGAGTGAGAACTATCACAGTGCCAGGTTCTAGTGGGGTGGCAGCCTTCAGCTTCAGTGTGCTTATCTGTGGGATGAGGAACCAGCCCCTAAGAACCAGTGAGATATGGGGGCAACAGGAAGGTTAGCTCTGGCCTGGCACTGGGGGGGGGGGCTGGAGATATTAACTCTCTTCCCGGAAGATTTAAAACATTCCAGAATGGCCCTGGGCACTGGGCCCAGAAATTCTTCTATGACAAATCCCAGTTTACTAGACTGAGGCCCATTCAGTGAGAGGGTGGGCACTGACAAGAGCCACGGGAGATGCTTAGACTCTGGGCAGAGCTTATGCTAAAGTCTGAAGCACATCATCCAATGGGGACCCAACACACACTTGGCTGCCACCAATTATATAGTTGGAAGGGTCCTTGTACCATCACTATACATATGGGGAAACTGAGGCTGGAAGTAGTGTGTCCAAGCCACTGTCACAAAGCCTGTGCCCAAAGCATCACAAAAACCTCCCTGGGTGGTCAAGGCTTATTGATCACTTCTATGTACAGTTCTGAGCCACATGGGACCTTGAACGGAGCTAAGCCAAACTGTCCCTGCCCACAGTGGTCACCTCTACACTGAGGGGGTTTCCTGTGTTTGTGGTAGAAGGGGCTTCTAGGAGACCTGTTTCCAACTTAGTAAGCCTGGAAAGCTTCCTGGAGGCAGTGAGGACCCAAGCTTCTCTTAGGAGAAGGGTAGTGTACCTAAAGGGAGGGGCTCCCAAGCAGAGAAGTTGTGGGGAGGGGAGGAAGGGGGAGAGCAGAGCAGTCTAGAGACGTGGCTTCTGAGGCTAGAGACTGAAGGGCCCGTGATGCAAGGGTGTAAAAGGGGCCTGCTGGTTGCCAAACCACTAGGGGCGGTTGGTTGGTATAGGGGTGAAGAGCAGTGCTAGGTGGGAGGCAGTGGATAAAAGCAGGGGGAAGGAAGACATGGGAAGGCAGTCCTCCAGGACGTGCTCCTCAGGAAGGCAGCAGATGTTCAGAGTTGGGGGATGAGGAGAAAGGAGACAAAGAAGTTAGTGGTGGGTGGTAGGGAGCCCTCAAAAGGGGGGGGGGTGGTCACCAGAGAGGAAGACAGCTGGAAAAAGCTAGGTGGCCAAGCCAAGACCACAGGACTCCCTGGATAGTGCTGGGACTGTGGAGAGTAGTAAGAGACTGAGCAGGGATCTGGGTTCACCAGGCCTGTTTAACTCCTGGCTCCAGGCCCCAGTACCCTTGCTGGTGGGCTTAAGGTGCTGGTGTGTGGTTTGCCCTTGCTGCCGCCAGAGGGCAGCCACCTCCCGCTAATGCTGGGTTTTCAGCCAGTCCCAAGAAAAGGATAGGGCTTCCAGAGAAGTCCCAGGCTCCTGTTACAGAGAAAGCTTGAATATTAGTGTTTTGTTACCTTCTAGTCCCACCAGCACACACCTGCCTTCTCTGGATGATCCAGCTGTCCTTGAAAGTCCTGCCCTGGCTATGATGGGTGCCCTCTGCTGAGAATCATCCACAGAAGCCAGAGAGGTGCAGTGACTTGCCTGAAGTCACAAAGCAATTCTTGACCCTCAGTTGGGTCCTTTGTTAGCTCTAGGAAGGATTATGGGCCTAAGGCATGGGGTAGGGCTTGGAACAAGACCTACAGTGAAGCTAGCTCAACTTCTCCCACAGCTGAAGACACACAGGACAGCTGGGAGGGACAGGGAGTGATTAGAAAGCATTGTCCTTCTCCCACACAGACCCAATTCTTTGCAAAGAGAGAAAAGTCTTCTACCCAACTAGAATATTTCATGCACACAGCCCAGATGGAAACCTAGAGGTCCCATGAATGGAAGCTCTTCTCTAACCCTTAACCCTGGACTCAAGTTTGAGAGTAAGAAGGGCTTTAGAAGGTCAGGTTCTGGCCTAGTTTCCCTGGTTGTAATCAGTCCAAAGGCCGCTCCGCTCTCCTTGCTGAGGGAGAAGCTGGCCCGGAGCAGGAAGGGTGGTCTTTTGCTTCATTGCTAAGGGATATCTGTGAAAAGAGTGTTCTGTGGAACTCAAGGAGTGAGGCCTGGCTGGAGAGGACCTGAGTGCTACCATGTGCAATGCAACTCTCTCCAGCTAACCACCCACCCAGCCCGTGTCTCCCAGTCATCTATTCAGCTCCTGCTCTCTCTTCTCAATAGCTGGAATCTTCCTTCCTGGTGGAGCAACAAGATGGCTGAAATGCTTTTCCCTTCCTCTCATGGAAAGGTAGAGCCTAAGTGTGTGTCTAAGAACCTGCCCCCCCCCCACCTCCCAGGCAATCTGGCTACTGGCCTTGGAAGTGGGAAAATTCTTGAAACTCTTCCCTTCCATTTCTCTCTCCCTCTCTCTCCTCTCTCCCTCTCTCCCTTCCATTTCTTTCCCCTCTCTCTCTCTCTCTCTCTCTCTCTCTCTCTCTCTCTCTCTCTCTCTCTCCTCTCTCTTGCAAAGCCCATTGCTTTCCCAGAGAGAAGTCCAGCTAACCAGGGGAAGAAGGAATCATGATGACAGCTTCCAAGTCCTTCCCCTTGAGGGCACATTTGAAGCTTCACCTGCTCTGGGCAGCAGCCACCCCTGACCCATACCCAGGGACCCCTCCCCCCAACAGCTACTCAGAGCCTTTCTGCCTCTCTCAGGTAGCCTCTGCTCCTGTCACCCTAGTCATTTCTGATGTAGAGAGCTCCCATGGGTCCTTCAGGATGCCAGAAACCTTTCTTGCTAACTTTGTATTTTTAGTACTTTAAAAAGGAATGAATCCCATTTCTTCGAAATAAAATGGGACCCTTTAGCTTGTATAAACTGATGCTGGCCTTGCCCATTTTCTGAGAACAGGAATTGGGGGTCTATTGCAAGGAGCTAGGCAGCTCCTGCACTCACAGGAACATTAGTACCACTGGAGTCCTGGTCCACCCAGAAAAACAAAACATAAAAACCCCAGGATTACCACAGAACCAAATGACCTCAGAAGCTCTATTCACTTCCTAACCACCACCACCAGAGGGCAGGCAAGGGACCTTGAACATCCCATTGCCTGGGTGGGGACACCAAAGCCCAGAGCTGGAGATCAGGCAATAGGTGGTAGTCTCCTGGAGGGGACTGTAATCTAGGATTCTGAGGGCAGCACTGGAGAGGGCTGGGGCAGGGGCCAGCTCTGCAGTGGGGCTTTGGCCGGAGTCGGTCCCTTCTCTACCTGTCACTACTTGCAGTGGCCCTAGCTTCCCAAGCCTGAACGCAGCTGTTAGGGTGGGGAGGTCCTTGTCCTTAGAGAGCTACCAGTGGCAGTGTGGGTACTTGCTAAGCCTAGGCCACCATTCACCTCTGGAAGTACAACTAAGAAGCAAGAGGCAAGAGAGGTGTCTCTGGCTAGGCAAAGGCCGGGACCATGAGGTTGGAGCAGGGACTAGTGTGGGCATGGGGTCAGACTTCCTGGAAGTCACATTCAGTCTTCTGTTCTTATCTTTTTCTCTGAGGCCCCTCAGTTTCACAGTCTTTAAGGTTTCCCTCTGGCCCCCTTCCTCCAGGAAGCTCCTGAACTCTGTAGGGCCAGAACCTGGACTCGGTGGGGTCAGAGCCTGGACTCTGCAAGGCCAGAGCCTGGAATCTGCAGGGCCAGAGCCTGGACTCTGTAGGGTCAGAGCCTGGACTCTGTGGGGTCAGAGCCTGGACTCTGCGGGGTCAGATCCTGGACTCAGCAGGGCCAGAGCCTGGACTCTGTAGGGTCAGAGCCTGGACTCTGCGGGGTCAGATCCTGGACTCAGCAGGGCCAGAGCCTGGACTCTGTAGGGTCAGAGCCTGGACTCTGCGGGGTCAGATCCTGGACTTTGTGGCAAAAGTGGGCCTGGAATGGATGATATGGGATTTGGGCTGTGCGAATAACTGCATCACAGGCTGGAGGCCAGCACAGTTGCAAGGGCCAGGACATCTAATCACACAGGTGAAGCTCATAGCACACATGTGAACCTGGCCAGAGAACTGGAGCCCACCTGGCTTTCCCAGCCTGCCCAGCTAGCCAGCCCCAGGAACTCTGCTTTAGCACAGACAGCAGATGGGAGCCACAGCAGGTTCTAGAATAGAGGACCTGCTCATCTGAAATCCTGTTCCTCCAATAATTTCCCTTGACTGACTGACAGCTGGGCCCCTGAACCACAACAAATCTTTGCAAAGCACTATTACAAAATGTCTCCCCTGCTCTATAAAGGGTGCCCTCCTGGGGATGGGGACCCAGTGGCTTCTTTATTCAATCCAAGGTTACCACAAAGGAACAAAAGAAGAGCATTTTCTCTGTCCTGTTCTTTCCCTCCCCAAGTAGCAGAGAAAGCTTTTGTGCTTGCCTTCCTGAAGCGCTGAGGGGCTACAAGGCCTTGGCCTGCATCTGACCTGAGCTCCTGTCTAATTGGCCCCCACAGGAGCCAGGCTGAATAATTGGACCAGGCCAGGACCATGGGGCTGAGGCTAGAACGGGCACAGAGGTGTATGGAAGATGCCATCTAGCTTCCTACTCCCCATCCTCTTGTCCCCAGGCCTCTCTCAACCTTACCTAGCATTCAAGGCTCCAGTCTGGGCCTGCCTTCTCCAGAAAGACCCTGGCCACCTGAAAGCCAGCATTAGTGGCCCAGAATCCTGCCTCTGCTGATAGCAACTCAGAGCTGACCTGGCTCTTGTCCCCAGGCTAGGGAAGTCTGAGGCTCTGGGTGCTCAGAGGGGACAGAACTCTCCTCAGAGTGACTCTGACCATGTCACAAGGAATCCTTCCCTTTGGTCACCTCCTTTTCCCCTGCTGTCAGAGAGAAGCTGCCTCCGGTTACTTTCAAAGGGTAGGGCCAAAACCTGGCCTTTCCTGCTACTGCCCCCCCCCCCCCCCCCCCGACTACCGGAAGCCCCTGTACCTTTGTGGTCTCTTTCTGTACACAAAGGGTGCTGCATTCTGGGCTGGAGCTTTGGGGTTATCACATGCTTTGGTAACTGGGGTTAGAGTGAGAAAGGTCACCATCATTAACCCCACTCCACCTTGCCAAGCCCTGGCCTGCAGCTGGTCGGCACCCTTTCAGATGTGTCTTCTGCTATCTCCACTTTCCCCCAGAGCCCACACAGATTGAGGTCTGGAGCTAGATCTTCAGGATACCATAGCTAGGGGCCAATGAAGTGGATATAACGGTCACCTAAAGGGATTTCCCGTCAAAGCCCCATTTTCCTCCCTCTCTGGGTTCTGAATGTAGGCTCTAGTGACCTGGGTTGGGACTGTGGATCTCATCCAAAGGTTCCTGAGACTAGTACTACCATCTAGAAGTGGTGGCCTGGCCCTCCCCCACCTTACCTCCTAGTCACACAGGCTCTGGGAATGCCTCTGCAGGTTGCCTGGCTACATACCCCTACACACCTGCAGCCTAGAGGAGCTGACCCATCTCCTGGAGCCAGAGGGTTTGGGGCAGACTTACGGAGCGGCTGTCAACTAGGCCCAGGGCGACCTTGGGGGCTGGAGGGGCTGGGTCCTCTGGCTCCCCCATCTGTGATGATCGCAGCTCTGTTTTCCCGATGGGTCCTCAGGGACTGTTGCTACAACAAGTGTCTGCTTGGTGACTGGGCCCAGCCCTGAAGCTAGTGGGAGGCAAGCCATAGAGGTTCTTTTGTTCTGGGGTGGGGAACACTTGGGTAGAGTGATAGAATCAGGCTAGGCTCACTCCTTGGTCAGGGAATCATAAGGAAATGACAGGCCTAGGGAGAACCATGGGGGTCCTTGGATACCGTAGGCTTCTGATACCACTACTTAAAGCCCCTGGCCACACCCTGTCCTCCAGCTGTTTTCCCAGTCTGATTGTGCCCTTGTGCCCTGTCTGTCTTCACTTTGTTCCCTCCTCAGGCATCTTTTCTCCCATCAGCCTTACCCTTTGTTTCCCGGAATCTCCCTGTGGCTTTCACTGTGCCAGCCTCCAGTAGCCTAAGCTGGGCTCACCCTCCTCCCACACTCCACCCATGACCCCAGCATTCTTCAGCTCTGCTTCCCCGATGGTCTGGACAAATTCCTTTCCCTTTAGTTCAGTGCAGACATGGGTGGATGTTTTTGAAAGGAACTCTCTAGGAAGCAAAGGAAAACAAACCCAAACACCCCAACTCACCACCTAGAAACGCAGGGTCACAGAGGCAGGGCTATTTATCACAGTGAACCTTTTTATAGATCCCTCCCTGGGGCAAGAGCCTGGTTACACAGACCCCCTCCTAGGGGATGGGGCGTGGTGGTGGTATTGTTAGCCTGTCTGCCTCAGACATGTGTGGCTTAAAGCATTTCGTGCAAGGACCCCATCATGAGCCAACAAGTTGTCTTGGCAGGAATGGGGATTTCATGAAGACGTAGTGCTAGTTTAATGAATGAATAGGTGACTGATTGGTGTTCTCTGGAACCTCAGGGATAGCACAGAATGGTCTCTGAGTTAGACACCTCTACTTCACTACTTCTATGGCCAAGGGCCTCTTTCTTCTGTCAGTATCGCAGGCATATCCTGGAATGGGAGAAGATTCATTTTTTTCTAGTTTGCTGGCTTCATTCTCCACTGATTTTTTTTTTTTTCTTAGTGCAATGAGGATGGGCAAAGAACTTGGACAATCTACCCGACTCCTGGGATGGTGAAGTGGGAAGACTGTGGCTCCGGTACTAATCCTCTCAACACCTCTGGGCCTCAGGGCCATTCTGTGAGATGGAACATGTCGCTGAATCCCTCAAAAGGGGCCGTCAGGGGACTGCACGTAGGTGTGAAGTTCCAGGCACACTCCATGGTACATAGGAGTGGCTCCAGAAATAGTACTTCTCTTTTGTGTGACTCACGGGGGACTCTGGAGGACCCAATACTTTCCAGCAGGGAAGTGAGTATGAGCTTGGTGTGTGGTCGCATGCCCCCCTGACAGTAAGTCACCCAGCAGGCACTAAATACAGGCTCAAAACCACCCCAACCCTTCCTTCCTCTTGGCTTCTCCCCCTGGGCTGCTGCCTCCTGCTGTGCATCTCTCCCTCCCACAAATCCAGGGCCAGAAGCCCAGGAGGTAGGCACCGTGCCACTGATGGATGCCCCCTCTCCAGCCAGCCTTCAGCTGTTGTCCCCGAGGGACCCTGGACCCCTTGTCTGCCGCACTGCCAATCGATCCAATGTTCTGCCATCCTCGGGCGTGCCATGAATTTTTCATCAAAAGCCTGTAGACTTTGGGAAATGCACAATTAGAAGCACCATCAATAATGTACCACGTGGAGGCATCCACAGGGTGCAGCCAGGCCCCAGGCGTGACTGTCTTCCAGTCTGCCCTAGCAGGAGAAGGGGGGCCCTGAGTGCACCCTTGAGGGCCCAACTCTGGCTACAGAACAAGTGCAGCTGTTGTGAGAGAGAGGCAACCACACCCTTGGCTGCTTGAGCCAGCTCCTTGGAGCCTAGGCCAACCACAGGAATACTAGCCTGATTTGGGGTGTTTTGTCAGTAAAATGAACACTGAAGAGTACCCCAATCTCATTCCTTGATCCACATAGCCCAGTAAAATTCCAGGCAGCTATATGAAGTCTCCAGGTGGGTTGCTTTTGCTTTTGTTTCTGTGGACCTAGTGAGTGGCTTTCCAGGATCCCAGGAAGCAGGGCAGGTACTAGGCTAGGTTGAAGAAGCAAAGGCAGGGAGGATGGAGATGCTGGCCATACCTCCTACAGCCAGCCCTGCACTCTAAGAACGCCAAGGTCAAAAGGCTGTATCCTAGGAGGGATGCAGCAGAGCACACCTGTAATCCTAGCACTTGAGAGGTAGGCAGGCAGAGAAAAAGATGGAGGCTATCTGGCCAGCCTGAAATACAAACTGGAATCCTATTTTGGAAAAAAGAAATCCATGCTGAGGGCAGAAAGAAGAGTTCAACGATGCTGCCTCACCTCAGTTCTCTGAGTGGCAGGCCAGCATGCCACCCAGTGTCCTACACACCCAGAGGAGCTGTCCAACTCTAGGCTCCTGTACTGCCCCTGCTCAACAGAGTTGGTCCTGCCAAGTCCTGTGACCCAGGTGTCCCTGCTCTCAGAGCAGGGACCTGTCAAATCCACACTGTGGGGAGCAGAGCAGGAACCAGGCTGGAAACCCTGTCCCTTGGCTCCTGGGACACCTGTGCTATGGGGTCACTAGGTGTGAGAAGGGGGCTTCCTCTGCAGAGCTAGGATCCAGCCTGCTGGAGTCAGGTTTGGAGAAAGGGTTATGGGGACCTCAGGCCAAGTTTGGGGGTGGGGAGGCAGGAGGAGGGACAGGAGACCATACCTTTGTCTTTGGTCATCCTAGGCTGACCTTCCCCTAGAGAGGGTCGTGATTGCAGGAGGGTTGCTTGTCTACTCTGCAGCCTGTCTGAAGGGGAGGCAGGCTCAGCAGCTCTCAATGAGGACACATGAAAAGCGCAGATGGTGCCAACAAGTGCAAATTAATTGAGCAAAGCCTGTGTACACAGGCGCTGCGAACAGGCGGCTGACAGGAGGGGAGGGGCTGATGGGGGACAGGGCAGGGAGCAGGGAGAAGCCTTAACGAGCACTTATCGATGATGTCTCGCTGGATCCACAGCCCAGAGCACAGTTATTGACAAAGCCTGTCTATAAATCTCCCAGCCATGTTTCCAGAAGCCTTAATTACGGGGCCTCATTACCCTTCACACCTCTAGGCTCATGGGGACCATCATGGCCAGGGGTGGCTGACAACGCTGTGGCTGACCCATGACAGCCTTGCTGAGCTGGTCCATGAAAGGTGCCCATCTGGGATGCCTGGAACAGTTTGGGGCTGTGTACCTAGCAGAGCAGACAGGATTCAGCCTCCCAGGCAGGGTATGGAAGGAATTTTAGAGCAGGAGGGCTCTAATCTCCTGATCCAAATTGTTCAGTTACTATTGACTCCAATGAATATCTCAACTCTGTGCCTCAGTTTACTCCTTTATCAGTAAAGAGAGGGTTGTAAGAAGATTATGCAGCAAGGTCTATCTGTGTCTAGCACATATAATATGAATGGAGTGCTCTCTGGCCATAACAGGACCTTGGGGTTCTTCTGTTGCACATAACATCCCAGTACTATGCAAGGCAATCTAAATCTGAATAGAGGTAAAACACAAGCATTGTCCCAACCACAATGGCCCGACCTCTCCCACTCCTGGCTAACACGGGCGACTACTGCAACTTCACCAGTGACAGTTTTAGCCTCACTCATTTACTGCTGCCTTGTAGGTGTGAATTAGCAAGAAGGTAATTACATTCACGGAACTTTCTGTACCTTCACCAGCATCACCAACTGCAATTACAGTCCTGATCTTTCCCACCACACTCAGAGAGCTCTGAAGTTGCTCAGGAGCTCCCTATGCCAGTCACTCAGCTGACCTCGAGGGTGGCAGCTGTGTGTTCCCGTGGGGATGGAGAGCCACCCATTTGCTCCTTTGCACACTCTCTTTAGAAGAGCATGCTGTCCAGGCTTTAACTGGAGGCTGTTTTTACCCACCCCCCTTGAATTATTCTTGTGAAGCTGTGTGGTTGTTGCTTCCCACTCACTGTCTAAAGGGAGGCATCTGGCCAGAAGAGAAAGCCTGGGTCAGGGGCTGTGGAAGAGGGATTCTGACGGTATCTGCCTGGGGAAGGGGCCCTGGCTCTATATCTAGGCCTTTTGGAGATCCAAAGATCACCTTGAGCCTGGTGGTATGTGTGTGGACTGGTGGGTGAGTTGAGATGGCAGGGGGCTCATTGGTCATGGGCAGCTGGTACAGTAGATGAAAATGACACCTGGCTCCCTTGAGCATCTGTTAGCCAGTTTTGGAAGGGTTCCTTGAAAGGAAGCACTCTCTGCCTGGGAGCCAGGAAGAGCAGACTCAGGACAGACATGTCTGTCCTGTGGCCCCAGGACTTTTGCTTTCCAGAATAGCAATGGATGTGGCCCAACATCAAATCATAAACTTACTCAAAACATTATATATACACACATACATACATACATACATACATACATACATACATACATACATACACACACATTACTTCTTGAGTCTGAATTTTGCAGATGATGGTATCTGTCACAGAGTTAGAAGGTTGGATACAGTTGCTTCACTGGCTTTCCCAGAGGTGTCCTGTTTGGGGATGGGGCATGCTCCACTCACCTCCCAGGCTATCCTATCCTCTACCTGGAACTGTCTTTTGAGAGCTATGAGTTGACCACCTATTTGTCTTCATGCAACTCACCTTTCCTGCCTCCAGCCCAGGCTCAGTTGTCTCAGTCCTGTGCTACCGACAGCCTCCATTTCATTCAGACTGTTCACAGCCTCACACAGTGCTTTAGCTTATGGTATCCTGGGCAATGCTTCTAGACGTCTTGTGGTCACCTTGGCCTCTTGGTGTTCCAGCCCAGGATTCAAGGGTCCTTTGAGAGTCCCATCTCACCTGTCCTGTCACTCAGCCTCTTTCTGGCCACTCTCCCCTCATGCCTCACCCTCCTGCACGACCCCCTTCCAGTGTTTTCCCTGCTAAGATGTGAGGGTTAATTTGAGTATCAACTTGACAGGACCTAGCATCACCTAGGAGACACCTCTGGTATGTCT